AACCATCTTTTCCATTTTCTCCTTTTTCTTGGACTCTATCTCCAATAAGTTTTCATATAATTTTTAGCCAAAGGCATCCTCAATGCTTTGTACCCGTGGGTAGCAAAAACACCAAACAGAATAATTTCTCTTCTCTTTCTTGAGTTGCATCTTTGTATATGTTGCCTCCTTGCTGTCTTACTTCTCGGGGACTTAAGCATAGAACTTTGAAACTGCACTTGACAATTTGGCAAAGGGGTAGACCATTTAGACTTGGTTTAAACTTCACGGGGTGGTCTAGGCCACCCCGAAGAAATTCATGGGATTCTTGGAGATTATTTCTGCTGCAGTTTGTGGGGAGTCGGTGGATTGTTCAGAGTCTCCACCTCCATTTGATTGGTGAAGAATGCCAAACAAAGAGACAAAGGCCTTATATGCCTTTGCTTGTTTCCCTTTCCTCATTTTTTTGTTTCTCTGCTGCTTTTCAGTTTTGTGTGCTGCTGCAATGCTTTTTTATTTGCTGTGGTCTCTGCTCTCATTTTGTTCTTTCTGCAACATAACAAGAGAAAAATAATAATTTAAATAGAACTTGTTTCATACCTGGTGATGAATGTTCTTCTTTAATCTTGACTTGAAAGCACGAATGGTTGAACTCGTTCTCTTTCCTGGCAGCACTTCGTTGCTCTTGGTATTTTCTCTCAAAATTTCTCTTATTTTCTGCAGAGTTTCCCCTTTCTTTTTCTTTCTCGTTGCAGCTGATGCCTATTTATAGGCATCATAGGAGGGTTCTAGAGCTTGTTACGTGGGGGGAAGATGGAGGGCATGACTTCCTGCCACTCTCTTCTTAACCTCTCTTAACTGACCCCACGTTTTTTTTTTGTTGCAGGAAAGGGAGAACCTGTTTATTGCTTCCCCCTTTTGTAGGAAATTTTCCTTATTTTATATTTTATTTATTTGTTTATGGATATTTGGTTTGTATGTAAAGCCCATTCTTAACTTTTGGGCTGGTTTACATCTTTGTTTTGCCTTGTAGCCTGACCCAATTTGTATGGACTCTATTTTTTTATGTTGTATATTTTTGTTGTTCAACAACCACGAGGGCCGATTTCAGAAATCGAAGAGGCACCTGCTTTTTCAGCCTTGTCAGCACCTGTCACATGCACACTCAGTTTTGCTGAAATTACGGTCATTCTGTTGAAGATTTCTAGTGAAGTAGAAAGCACGTGAATCTTACTGTTCAATCATCCACTTTCCACACGCACCATCAGCTCATGGGTACCACAGATAACTTTGCCAAAGATCTCTGACAAAGTTTAGACACGTGAAGCTTGCAGCTCCCACTCCATCGCTATGACCAAGAAGGGTAAAAGAATAGCAAAAAAACAGCACTAACAAAGTTTAAACACATAAATTTTGAAGGTCTAGCTACCATATTATTACCCACAAGGGTAAAGGAACAGCACCACTGCTGGATAATTGGAAAGTCCCTGTGTGTGACACACTCTGTGCTCCGTGGCAAGGTAGACTAGCAAACATGCCCAACCTTTACTCACATTCGAGAAAACACTCCCAACAAGATTGCTTGCTCCAAAATCGAAGAGGCACCGCCCTCCGAATCTCGAGAGCCAGACTCCCAACATGATTACTTTCTCAAAAATCGAAGAGACACCGCTCTCCGAATCTCGAGAGCCAGACTCCTAGCAGGATTGCTTTCTCAAAAATCGAAGAGGCACCGTTCTTCGAATCTTGTGAGCCAGATCCCCGACAGGATTGCTTGTTCAAAAACCAAAGAGACACCGCTTTCTCAACTTCGAGAGCCAGATCTCCTTGGATAAAGCTTGTCTGTAATCTTCACACGCAACATCAGCTTTCCAGATACCACAGACAACTTTTTCAAAGTACTCTGACACACGTGAAGCTGGCAGCTCTCACTAATGTGCTATGACCAAGCAGGTTAAAGGAATAACATTACTATTTGTTGTTAGGGAGACTCCTATATATGTCGACCTCCATCCTCAACAGATAGGCAGACCTGCAAAAATGCTCAACCCTTCCTCATATCTGAGAGGGCACTCCCAACGAAGCCTCTTGAAATACTCAGTTTTCTTCCCCCCCCCGATAATACCTCTACAAACAAGTTACACCAGAGCAAGAATATCTCATATCATCGGGGTTAAAAGTAAGAGTATCCCATATCATGCTTTTTCCCTGTCTTTTCCTTTGGCCTTGTTCTTACCTGCAAGACAAAGAGAAAGAGAGCAATTAGTCAGCACTTGGAATCAAGCTTCCAATCAGGAACTGACTGCCTGGAACCTCTTACTTGATTACTTACCTGGCATTGCTCTCGAGTACTCATCTTCAACATCTTATGCTTCCAGAGAAGATACCACATCTGCCTGAGGAACAGATAGGGAAAATGAGAAAGATACAAGGAAGCATGTGGAGACAAGTGTAACAGAACACGTGCCGATACATCCACTACTTTGTCAACAGCAAAAGTATCCCATATCAGCAGGGTCGAACGTACTCTAGATTTGATGGACTTGTTTTGACCCTCAAATTCTTCAATCGGCCTTATACTCTGGAAGAAACTAGAAAACCCTCCAGCCCAGTTCAAGAATAAGCATGTGGAAAGTTACTTCTTCAAAAGCAAAAATATCTCATATCATCCATTCTCCTTTTTCTTCTCTTTATCCTTCATGTTGCCTGCAAGATAGGGAGAATGAGAACAATCAGCCGGAACTCGAAATCAAACTTCTGATCTGGGACTGATTACTTGGAACTTCTTGAAGCTTTCTCTTTCATTACCTCTTTCCCTTTTACTTAGGGGGACTCCTTACTACAGGGGCTTGACCTAAGCTGACGGTAAACTGACTTGACATACTTGAATACCTACTTACACTTTGGAATAAGTATTTAGAACCACTCTTGGGAGTTGAAGATACCAGATAAGAAATCTACTATGAGAAGTTGAAACTACATACTTGTGTAATTCTTTACCTGTTACAGAATTAAGGAATTACTGAACTACTTGTACTACTTAATCTGTGACTGGATAATCTAGAGAACTTCACGATACTTAAGATGCTCGTGTTATCAAACTATTACTGACAAGCCCAATTTGACTGAACCAAATCTTGTCCTTACTTTCCGTTGGTCTAGAAAGTTCTTGTCAACTAATCCGTAGCATCAGCGAAGCACAATAATAATTCTTTGACCAATGTACTGGAATATTGCTCACAAATTGAAGTTAAGTCCTTACCTTTACCGTTGTTTGGATGAGTACAAGTGAATCCTCAACCTGGGAATGAATACATGGATACCCTTTGATTTGATTAGGTTGAAGAACTGAAACTAAAGTGTTGGAATCCAAAGGATATCAATTAGACATGGAAAAATCCAAAGTAAAGTAGACCTTGAGTTCACCTAAAGATCTCTTGTATGCAAAGTCAACTCAATGTCCTTTCAAAATTTGAATATTTGGAGATGTAATGGATGAATCAGAAATTAGATTGATGAAGATCTTTGTAAACATAATGTTGTGAAGAGGATGGAGAAATGCTTAACTTTGGAAAAAAGAATCTAAAGTTCGCCTAGATGAAAGACAGAATTATGGAGTGCAAGTTCAGTGCAAATGGATGCCAAAATGAGTTAGGGCGGAGATCGAAGATCAGGAAATACCAAAGGCGGACGTTTTCGCTACCTAGGACCTAATCTTGCAAAAGAAAAACATGGAGAATTAGATGGAGTGATGAAATGAAGTGTTGTGGACCGTCGTAGGCCACTAAAGCTCAAGGGAAAATTTTATAGGACGGCAATAAGGCCGGCGATGTTGTATGGCACAGAATGTTGGGCGGTGAAGCATCAACACGTACACAAAATGAGTTTAGACATGTGCAAAGAAGGCCTACTGACGCTCCGGTTCGAATATGTGACTACGGGATAGAGGTTCAGGGTTGAAGGGGTAGATGAAGACCTAGGAAAACTTTGGAATAGACCCTAAGAAAAGACTTAGAGTACTTGGATCTAACAGAGGACATGACACAAAACCGAGCGCAATGGCGTTCTAGGATTCATATAGCCGACCCCACTTAGTGGGAAAAGGCTTTGTTGTTGTTGTTGTTGTAGTGATAGGAAGAAGCATTCAATTTTTCTTTTAACAACTTAAAAGTCCCTCTATTTTTTTTTTTTTTTCGGGTGACAGCAGTTGATGTCTTAGTATACAAATTTTAAAAAGAAATGATGACCTTTCAGATAATGCTCTAAACTCCTGGTTTGTCTGACTAGTTTTCTGTTTAAAAATCAGCCAAACTTGTTTTGGAACCAAAAACAACCCTTAGAAAGGTCATGACTGAATAGGTCATCACGAGGAATGAGATCACTCAATATATGTAATTAGATGGGATGAACAAATGTGTTAGTGGCCATAGAAGAGGGGCTGTATTGGGAGCTGACTGTCGACTTCTGATGTTAATCAGTAATTCAGAATCAGGTAACAGGGTTGTAACGTCTTAAAAATGTTTTAATAATATTGTTCTTATTAAACATTTCTACAAGGAATGACTTCTCCCCACGATGAAAGCAGTTAGGATGCCATCTTTAGGATAGAGGATAATCCTTTGTCAGTTTTCCTGTCTTTTGTATAGAGGATAATACGGGGACACACGCTTTTGACACCCATTTTGTACAGCCCACTTCGTAGTGTATTTTAACAATTCAAACCGTCTATATTTTAGTACATCTTTCATAGATCTTCCTCGCAAAAGATTAGACAAATCAAAACCACTTACAGGGAATAAAATGGATGAATGCGGTTCTACAAAGAAACACTAATTTAATCCAATGGTCATATGGTTTCAAATTTGGGTGATTTTTGGTAGACACGGTCTTTGAGGTAAGACATAATGCAGCTGTAACTTTATCAATTTTCATCCTTTAAGTTGAAAAGTCATTGGTTGTTCTGCTTAAGTGCTAGTTCACAAGTTTCCTGTTTCTGATCTCTCTTTGGTGGTTATTTTCAGACATCTTTGGAAGAAACATGGAAAGAATTAGTTTCTAGCCTTAGAAATGCTAAAAACTTTAGTGGTCCTGTATGTTTTCGTCATGCTATTCTCTCACCTCTGGGATATGAGACTCCACTCTGTAAGGGGCTGAGTGAAGATATAAATTGTCATGGTGCATCAGCACCTGATCTGTGGCAACACCCTGATGACCAGAAAACAGCACGAATATTAGAGTTTGGAGAAATGATTAAAGCCTCTTTTGGATTTCCAGTACATGGACATCGTACTGAGAAGCCAAGCTCAGGTCATAATGTCCTTTTTGTTCGACGAGAAGATTACCTAGCCCATCCACGCCACCATGGTAAGGTTGAGTCAAGGCTAAGCAATGAACAAGAAGTGTTTGATGCCTTGAAGAACTGCGTATCTAATCATAAGGAATGCAAAATAAACCTTGTGAATGGATTGTTTGCACACATGTCGATGAAAGAGCAAGTCCGGGCCATTCAAGATGCTTCTGTCATTATCGGTGCTCATGGTGCAGGTCTCACACACGTAGTATCTGCAATGCCAAAAACCGCGATTCTCGAGATTATTAGCAGTGAGTATAAACGCCCACATTTTGAATTAATTGCTCAGTGGAAGGGGTTGGAATATCATGCCATTAATCTCGAAGGGTCATTTGCCAGTACACCAGTTGTTATTGACAGGCTTAACGGCATAATGAAAAGCCTCGGGTGCTGAAAATTATTTGGTTTGGGCAGAAACCGCTCAATATCATGCTGGAAGTGGAAGTGATAGAGAATCAATTCTTCCTTCAGTGCTGGTTTTTGTACCACCATTTCCGTTTCCTCGAGAATGCTAATCCACCGTGTTTGCACGGTGCTGATTGAATCTTATTTTAGTGAAGGTAGAGTAGATTACCAAACCTCTTGGACTCTGTGACTGGCTCTCCAATCCCAATAGTTGTGAAACATAGAATGAGGCTAACAAAGCAACGGTATGGGAAAGTTAAAGGTGTTGGCCTTGCTTTGCAAAAGGATATCGACATTGTGCAAGATTGGCCAACAATCATCAGAGGGACATAAACAAGTTCGTAGACTGCATTGTCTCTGCGTATGGTATGTTTTCTTGACACCCAAAACCATTGTATTTGTCAGTTCATTTCTTCCGGCGAATGGTCCAACAGCGTGAGGAATTTTGTTGCTTGTGTACTGATTCTTCGTTACATACACGGTATCTTCGTGTACAATAGAGGAATACTTGTATGATTGATTGATTGTATCGAATTTTAGTCACAATTTTTTGTTATACACCAACAAAATGGCTACTTTTTCATTGTTAGATTGAGCAATTTAATCTCGTTTTGTCTTCCAAGGTGATATGGACAGTGCAGGACATACCATTGACATTTTACATGACCTGCCCATGTGACCAAAATTCTATAGTCGGTCTGGTTCGGTTTTTACGATTTTTTTTTAACTTGGTTTTATTCGGTTCACCGGTTTACCGGTTTACCGGTAGAATAAAAAAGTTTCTGGCGTCAACCTAGCGCAAACAAGTTAATGCATGTAGCAAATGTAAAATAAAATCCCCTAAAAGTAAATCTATTAATAAATAAATAGTGGTAAAATGTAAAATAAAAAAACAAAGATAGTAAATTGGAAAAAATTACGGCAACAACTATATGTTTTAAAAATAACACTGTGCTGAAGTGGAGGGGAAAAAATTCTCATCTACCTATATTGTCTGATTTTTTTTCCTAAACTATTGCAAACGTGGGACTTTTTGGGTGTTCTAGAATATCCGTACTCTAGGTGTTTTAATCGTTAAATATTTTTTTGTTGCAAACGTAATGTGATAACTGCTTACATTTAAAAAGCCAACAAAAGAAAAATTCCAAACGATCATATGTCACATAAGATAAATTCATATTATTTGAGACTTAGCCCATAAGATAATATGGTTCTTTTGTTGGCTTTTGTGAGACTTAGCCCATAAGATGATTCAAATTCGTCTTTGCTAATCGAGACTTAGCAATAATATGGAATTTAAGAGAGGGGGGGGGGAGGTGAGGGAGTGGGTTAAGTCTCACAGTAGGCTACCAATAATATAGTTCAAATTTGCCTTTTGCGAGAATCAAACCTAAAATCTCTCATTTACTAGTGAAGATGACTGTCACTAGACTGTAGTACAATGTGACAATAATCCTTGGGTTTTTTTACTTTTCGAACAAATGATATTATCTACACTAAGCGGATGGGAGAGTGGACTAAGTTTCACAATGGGCCAACCATAATAATGTAATTTAAATTCGTCTTTGACGAGAATCGAACCTAAGAGCATCTCCAATGGAAGTCCCTATTTAGGGACTCCTACCACCAATTTTGAGTACTAATTTAAGGACTTATACGGAATCTTTGTGTTCCTAAAGGAATATTGCCTCCAATGGGAGTCCTTATAGTAGAATACTTAAATTTGAAGTATTTACGATTTTATGTGATAATTTGATTAGGTGCACAATTTTTTTTTATGTTAACCTTTTTTTAAGGCTTTTTATATTAGCACCCCACAAAATGTTGAATGCACCTCACATTAAAATTTAATATTAATGACTTACTTACTCTACTATGCAATGACAATTTTGACCTTATTAGGTTTAAAAAATAATAAAAAAAATTAACTTTTAACGCATTATTTATCTACTTCAACTCTTAAAACCCCTCACACCCTCCATTGTTGAATAAAACTTTAAGCAATGAAACTACAAACATGTTGATTAAGAAAAATTATTTTTGACTAATGGAACACGAAATCAATGTTTCGAAAGCTTTGAAATCATTATTATTGTTATTGAAAAACATTCAAATGAACCTAAACATTTTTTCAAATCATTCAATTTGAAATCATTCGGCAACCTAAAGTTTAGATGGTTTGAAATCATTCGGCAAAATTAAAAATGACTGTTCTAAATTTGAGAAATGTGGGGTGTATAAAAAATGTGGGGTGTGTATAGAAAATGTAAGGTGTATATTAAGAATGTGGGGTGTGAGGGTATTATGGGGAAGGAAGTGGGGTGTAGTAAGATAATTTTTAATTGAAAAAGTAAATGTGAGGTGTATTAAGCATGTGTGGTTTATTCAACAATTTGTGGGGTGCTAATATAATAAGCATTTTTTAATTAATTAGAAGCATTAAAATTAAAAACATTAAAAGCATTAAAATCTTCAATCAAGATTGTGCGTCCCGTTTTTACTCAAGGTGCAAATTTTTTTTGTTTATGTTAATCATTTTTTAATTAATTAGAAGCTTTAATCAATATTGTGGGCCCCTTTTTCTACTCAAGGTTATCCATGTCCCTATATGTGAGGACATACACTATGTATCTAGTGAGTCCCTATACTTTAGGGACTCACTTTCCGATCCATTGGTTAAGCAAATGATATTATCTATACTAAGGGTGGGGGGTGGGCTAAGCCTCACAATGGGCTAACAATAATGTGGTTCAAATTCGCGTTTGGTGAGAATCGAACCTAAGACCTCTCACTTACAAGTGAAAAGGAAGATCGTAATACTGAGTGGCCTCTTTCTGATCCATTGGTTAAGCAAATGATATTATCTACACTAAGGGTGGGGGAGTGGGCTAAGCCTCACAATGGGCTAACAATAATGTGGTTCAAATTCGCGTTTGGTAAGAACCGAACCTAAGACCTCTCACTTACAAGTGAAAAGGAAGACCGTAATACTGAGTGGCCTCCTTCTGATCCATTGGAGATTCATTTCACCTCTATATTTGTCTTATACCCATTTTATACAGTAATCGTTTTTATTTGTAAATTCCAATGGAGATGCTCTAATATATCTCAAGTAAAGAATAATATCATTATTGTGTACTACGTGTTCATTCCTCGTTCTTTTAGATACATTTTTTAACTGAAACAAATTAATTATCAAGCGAGACCCAAAATAGCGGCCCAATTACTTCCATGCTCTTCCCTCCGTCTCCAACTCGGTTCTTGTCGCTGTGTTTTAAAAGCTCAACCTTGTCAGGTATGGTTTCGCTTCGCCTATACGCAACAGCTAGCAGGCTCGTAATTAGCTACTCAGTCGTCTCTAATTACTTTGTTATATGCTTTTAGCTTAACCTAAAATCCACTTATCAAACCTAATCATGCATCTCTAAACCAACAATTTGTCGTACTTGAGAAATGCCTTCCAACTGTATGATGGAATGCCGCACTCAATTGTTTGGTCTGAAAACTCATTCTTTCATGTCGGTTTTCTGATAAATTCTATGCCTCTTCCTTATTCAGAAGCATACAGCAATTTGCGGAAGAAGATGGTAGTTTGCTTTCCCTCCACCCCCAAGAGGTTGGCAATGACGGTTGGGTGTTTCGTTTCTGCTGCTGCTCTTTTCGGGTTCGGTGCGCATCTCTCGTATGTCAACGTTGCCCCTCAACAAGCTCGAACCAAAGCTCGAAATGAATTTGTGAGAGAGCGGCTGAAACAGAAGTACGGCAGCAAATGATACAACACGCATGGTTTCCAGATATCAGTTCGGTTTTCGGATCGTATCCTGGTAGGGGTGGGACAAGTTTGAGGTGTGAATTTATGATCCATCCCTTGTGGGAACTCTTTCAGGGATGAACATCCAACTGTTTTTGTGGTTGTTTTGGTTTTTCGTTTGCTCAACATTTGTATGTATCAGTATTACAAGTTATAACAGGGATGAATACGCCAACTCTCATAACCGAAGAAAATGGAAGTGCAGAACTGGATTTAGCCAGTTGGCTGGAGTGTGCTCCATTCTGTGCATCCAAATTCAAATCATTCGTCCCCGTAGTTTAGATAAGGTTCGGAACAATATGGTCCATTGTTCTCTCGGAAAGAGGCTTCTAAGGTACAAACTCGAACCACATGGCAATCTGACCGCATACAAAACACCCTACAGGAGCGTCGAACGCAACTTTTATCGTCTTACGCAGACGTCTGGACATAAACTCCTAGTATAGGGATATACATCGGGTCGATTAGAACGCACGTATCACTAGAGCACCAGATACTCAGTAGGGCCTTGTGAGAGGCGGACTAGGGCCACACAGAAAAACTCTAAAATCACACAAACCTTTGCCCTTGATGCTTGAGGGTGGGTAGATAAAAATGTATATTTTGGTGCCGAGCATAATTAGCGGCAAAATGCAAGAAATATTCACGAGAAAATTAATCAAACTGCTGCTCCACATCCAAATAGTAAGCGTTTACGATTGCAAAAATAGAATTACTGATTGAGCATTCAACCACTAAAAACATTGTTTGGGGTAAAGCCAGTTGCAACTTCAAACTGAAATAAAGTGCAATCCCTTACAGAGTAGGAAACGACGAAACAAATGACATACTCTTGAGTCTACAATCACTGAGTTCTGGTAACCAAAATTTAAGCTGCAGCTCCCTTCCCCTTCTTCCTCTGGAGCTTCTTCATGTAGAACTCCAGCTCTCTGCCCTCCAAGATATATCTGTAAAACATCACATATGAACAAGTATGATTAAACTTAACTTTGCAACAAGAAACGAAAAACAACCGTCACATCCATGCTTCCAACTCTAGCATAACTGCAAATAAACTAGTAAAGCACCTACAATAGACCAAATTGAAAAAAACACAGGAAGATAAAGTCACTTACCCATCGCAACGGCCACACTGACCAGGTCGTGATGAAATACAAGCCAACAGACGACCACCGCCAAATTGTTCTTCAATATGCTGGTCCAAGGTGCGAGTCTGTTGACGCTTCTCCAGCTTTCTGGCTACATGGTTGCTCTTCTTTGCCTCCTCAGCAGCAGCAGCAGGTGCCTCACCATCCTATATGATCACAAAACACGGCATCAGAGACCGTAAATTCTACTGTTCTTGACAACATTCTGCTCCTCCATTTCAAAGAGTACAAACATGTACATAAACATCTTCCAATCAATTTGTTATCAGCGTGCATAGCATACACAAAATATAATTGTTTCCACCATGTGAACACATCAAACCAATGTATAAACCATTATATTTCCTCTAGATGCAGAAACAATAAAAATTCACCAAATATGTAAAAACACAAAAGACAAGTCCAGCGATAACACACATAAAAAAACTTAAATCATTGGAAAAATAAAAAACAAAGTTCTACCTCTGCTTCTTTCTTGGCAGCGGCAGCAGTTTTCTTCTTGCGGCCAATTTCAACTCCATAGTGCTGGAGGTACCACTGCTTGAATGGTGCTGCATCAACCTGAACAATGGCACTCTTCACCAATGTTTGAGTACGGACCAACTCATTGTTAGATGCATTGTACACAACATCAAGAAGACGGGTTTTGCGGGTCACGGCCTCGCTACCCCAGGAGAAATTTCCAGTGTCAAGCCTCAAAGCACGCCACTTGACATTTCCACCTCTAACCCTGATCCTCCTCACAGTCTTGTTGCTTGACAACTTGGTGTTAGCAGGTTGCCTTCCGAGCTCGTACCTGCAAACGAGAAGTGGAAATTAAATCAATTCCAAAATCATCAAGGCTTTAAAGTAACATCATTTTACACAAATGTGAGAATTCATTGAAATAACTAATATAAATCAATAAACAAATCTAAACCAACGAGCAGTACAGAACTTGTGTTCACAATAATCTGCGAAACCCTTGCACACACAAGTTCATAAATAAAGTTAAACAACACTGGTCACAATCTAAGAAATGGAGGGTTGGTGCCGTAATACATACAAATTACGGCAAACCCTTCGAGCAAGTGGAGACACACCACAGTGAATTATTTGTCAGAAACAAAAAGTTCACAAATTGCAAGGCAATCAAAATTCTTTCAACCTATGCAGTTATAAATCTCCTTAAATCACCCGATTAATTTCTTTAAAAGAATAAACAAATCATTGAATTCATTCATCAAATAAACAGGAGAAGCACATTATTCAAAAGGAAGGTGGCTCGGATAACAACTTGAACAAAAAAAAAAAAAAAGAGCAGCTCAAATCAAAACAAAAGAAAGAAATATTACTTTCGCTTCTTCCTCCAAGCCTTCTTCTTGCCTCCAGTGGCACGTCTCTTGTGCATGGAATCTCGAGAAATACCTACAAAAATCACACAAAAACTCAAGATTTAGCATCACAATTCACAAATGCGATATCAAAAAAAAAACAATCAAAACTTCAGATGAACAAATTCAGGGGTACCCATCACGGAAACAAAGTTGAAAAGACAGAAAATGGATACGAGATGGAGATAATAAGAGGATGAGAGAGGTACCCATTTTGGCGTTCTAGGGTTCTTCTGCTCCAGGAGTCTGCAGCAACGCGGCTAGGGTTTTGTGAGACAAGTGGAGTGGCAGGCGAGCTAGGTTTTTAGTACAAACGTAAGATGTTCAAATTACTATATTGTCCTCAGTGTTCTGGTGGTATTACCGGGCCCAAACTATTTCTTTACTTTGGGCGACTTTGGATCGGGCTTTTCCAAGAATCTGTACCTCCCGGTCCAGATTCAGTTTGGGTTGAAGTCATGTTTAGATCTTTGATGGACCCGAAGAGCTCAAACCCGCTTTACATTATTATTATTTTATTTTATTTTGAAACAACACTTTACATTAGGTTTAGTCTTTCATTGATTGATTGAAGGTTGGTTTGGGATTACGGTGCTTTTAAAAAAACATCTTATTAAAATCACTTTTACAAAAATACATTTTTTTTGACAACATTATAAGGCAATGGTCATATTTAGTCGTCTATTACTCTATGCATTCATATCTCCATTTACAACAAAGTTGAATTTACGATACAAAATTTTGAGCCCAAATAAAATTTCTCTTTTGTTTTGTTTTTGTTTTTTTTTTTAAATTCCTTTTACATTTTTCCCATCATCCCTACTCTAGTTTTTCATATTCTACATTTATATTAAACAAATCCCAACTTGCTTGCTTGTATATATCGAAGCGAGTTGGACTGTTGGAAGTAGAACCCTATTCCCCTTCCCTCTCGAAAGGTTCCACATACACATATGCAGATTGTGAAAGCATAAACATCTGCGTTTCCTTCTTCTGTTTTGTTTTTGCATTCTCTTTCTAGTTTCTACCAATTTTCTGTGTTGAAATACTGATAATTTGAGTAAACAATACATAACCCACATTGAATCCATCCAAATATCATCCATCAAATCATTCTTCAAAGCATTTGGAAGATTTGATAATGGGGTTTTCGGTGCTGGGATCAGTGGGCTCTCATATTTTAGTAAGAAATTCTTACGAAGGGACTTTGAAGATTCAATCTTTCAGGGAAAGAGAGAGACCCACCATTAGTTTCGAGCTCTCAAGGTCGAGGTCCTACCATGGAAGAATCAAGTCGAGCAAGTCTGAATTACTTGACTTTGATGAGAGAACAAGCCCAAATGAGGTATGTTGCTAATTTGTACTAATATTTGTTCGATTTTTTCCTTCCGGATTATGAATTAGACAACAGTAGTAAATTGTGTGTGTTTGTAGATTTTTTTTGGACTAATCTTGATAAGCATTTTATAAGGAAATTTGAAGGTTTTTTTTTTTTTTTACTTGTTCTTTTTAAACAAACGATATTATCTAACTAAGAGGAGGGGTGGACTAAACCTCACAATGAGTTATCAATAATGTCGTTCAAATTCGTTTTTGATGAGAATCAAATTTAAAACCTCTTATGTACAAGTGAAGATGAATACCATTAAACCGTAGTAGATAGGAGTAAAATAGTGGAATTGTAAATTGCAGTGAGTTTCCACGAATCCCATTAGTAAGGAATCCTTTTGGTCGAATGTTTTTTCTAGATATAGATTACACCAGGGAATTCGATACAGTTTGAACTGAGCTCTTGAGTGTATCCGACAACATTGGCAACGATTCTGTTGTTACTAAGTTATTTTGTCACTCAAATTCTCAACTAAGTCTGCTGAGAATTTGATCTTTTGTATAATTTGTTTTAATACTGCATATCCGAAAACGTTGCCCTGCTTTTACTACTAGTTTTGTGCAGGCAGGCATTATCTGTGTTCCAGGAGTATTGCTTACTATGAAATTATGAATACTTTGTTTCAACCGAATCATTACTGGGTTATTAGCTTTATCTTCTGACTGGGAATACATTGCAATGCTTTTTATTTACTGATACACTTGGGAGAGGAATGTGTCATTGCAAATTGATCTTTTATTTAACAAATTTTAGCATAGCGTGTGAAGCCGTTCTTTTGTTAACAGACGATATCTTATCCCAGTTGTCTTGCTCTTTACTGTTATTGCTTGTTTAAATAGAATAGTTGCTGGTTTAAGCTTAATTGACAGGCTGAATTGAAGCCTTTAAGAGCTTATTTCCTAATATTTGTTTATCGTTGAAAGGTCAGGAAAGAGATACAACGATGTTATGAACTGATACACAGACTTGGGAGAGGAGTCGTGTATTTGGGTTCTTCAAGGATGGGACCTGATCATTCACATTATTCGAAAACGCTAGAGTTAAGCACAGAGGTGAGTCACTTTTTCCTACCTCTATTTCCCTACAAATCACCCCTTCATGTAAAAAGTTTTTACGAGCATCAATTTAAAGGCAACGAGATTGCAGGACAGGAACCTGAGCTTTAAAACATCAAATGCATTATGGAATTTAATATGCTCGGTATTCTACTTCATTAAATTTGTATTTCCCCACATCTTCTGAGCAGATTGCAAATCTTTTGGGATGTACTTCATGGACTGGGGCTGGTCCAGGACTAATGGATGCTGCTACTAAAGGTGCTTTGCGAGCAGGAAAATCGGTTGGTGGATTTAAGATTGGTAAAGAAGCTGGTGAATGGACAGCATCAAATTATCATCCCTACCTACCATCAGAAGTGTATCTCACATGCAGGAAAGATATAATTATTTGTTAGAAAGTTCATAAGTGCATTTTAGAACTGCTACCAAATTGTATAACTGCTTCATACTTGCAGGTTTTTCTCTGCTAGGAAGCATGGTTTGGTAGATGCTGTAGTTAGAAGCAGTAGTTCCGAACGGACTGCTGTTGTTGCTCTCCCTGGTGGGATTGGTACTCTCGATGAAGTTTTTGAGATATTAGCACTGATTCAACTGGAACGAATTGGGTCAAAGCTTCCAGTTCCGTTGTTGTTGATGAACTACGACTCATTCTATTCAAAGCTACTGAACTTCCTTGATGATTGTGAGGACTGGGGCACCCTCTCCAAGGGAGAGCTTGCATCACTTTGGAAGGTTTGTGATAGCAACTCAGAGGCTTTGGTTTATTTGTCAGAGTTTTACAACTTACCTCTTAGCGAGAAAGGAAGGCATGACAACGAATTGGAAAGTGCAAGCGGAAAATTGTGTTAATGAGATTTGCAGTTGAAGTGGTTGTCTGTAGAATGCCCTTTCCATTCAAGCAATGGTCTCAAAATCTGTTGTAACTTAATCACACTTGCCTGCGGAAATATTGTTCACTGCCTGAATTTTAGATTTCTATTTTCCTCAGTCGTAGTTGAATGCGGATTTCGCAAGTAAGAGTCGACATTGGCAGTCGGTTCAGCGGCAAATACGAGTCAAGCTGCGCAATCACCATGTGACCCTTCATCTAGTGTGAAGTTTAAACCTGGTTCTTTTTCTTCGAGGGTGTAGAGAGATTTGGAAAATAAGATGACAATGTAATTATTCTACTCTAAACTAAACTAATTTACAGGAATGGGGATTTGAACTCGTGTGCAAGAGGGCGAGCACATTGCATTGATTAACTGACCTAACCCACGTCTACAAGAGAGCTGAAACATGAAATGATTTACCAACGTTTGCAAGAGGGCGGTAACATAAACCGATATGTAATCTCGGACTATAATCAAGAACTTGACTGCCTTGAGGACGGCAGCAAATCATCGGCACTTGTGTAGTCATAACTTGGTGAACTGGACGCTGATTGATCACCAGTGTTCAAACCAGCTAGCTGCATTATGTTCTCGATCTCTTTCACCACTTCCCCCATTCTAGGGCGTTTATCCTGCTGCTCTTCTACGCACAGCATCGCCAAATCAACAAAAATTTCCAAACCTTTCAGATCTGTTCCCGAACCCATAGCCGGGTCAAGAACTTGATGAAGGTTGTACAGAGATTTTGTCTTATCCATTGCCATCTGCACCACTCTCACTATATACTTCCCTTGCTCTATTGGCCTTCTAGCAGTTATCAGCTCCAACATTACCACGCCGAAGCTATAAACGTCACTTTTCTCTGTCAACTGTTGAGTCATGTAATACTCGGGATCCAAGTAGCCCTACACCAGCAGAGATAATCGACCTCAGTTAGGATGATACCGTGATATTTTGTACAAAGATGCAATACTTGTACTCGAGGAGTTGATAAGTTCTTTAACTTACCATTGTCCCCTTAACTTGAGTACTTATGTGATCTGTTTCACTGTCAGACATAGACTTGGAGAGACCGAAATCAGCAACTTTTGCTGTTAAATCTTTATCGAGCAATATGTTGCTTGATTTAATGTCGCGGTGTATAATGGGAGGGTTTGCGTGTTCATGAAGATAAGCCAGACCTCTTGCTGCACCAAGAATTACTTTAAGTCTCCTCATCCAGTTCAGCCTGATTCCAAACTTCCCTGCATTCACAATTCTCTAATCGATCATTCTCACACGAGAAAAAATTGAACGAAACAATTGGAGCTTCAAGGTCCTATTTAGATTTGAAGATGAAGAAATGAATTGAATACCTGAAAGAATTCCAAATAAATCGCCATTCGGAACATACTCATATACCAAGATTTGTTCACCTTGCTCCAAACAAAAACCAACAAGGCTGACAAGATTCTTATGATGTACTCTTGATAGAAGCTCAACCTCAGCTTTAAACTCAGGCCCTCCCTGCATAGATTCCCTTTTAGATCTTTTAATTGCAACCATTTGGCCCGTAGGAAGAACTCCTCGATACACCTATAAAATGTTACCGAATGATGTCATATTGTCACCATCTAGCAGTATTTTTGTAAGTCACATTTTGTAACTGTGTAGGGTTTAGGAGTTAACCTTTCCATAACCACCAGATCCAACATCATTAGCGTCTGAAAAACCGTTGCTGTATTTCCTAAGCTCTTCAAAAGAGAACAACCGTGCTCCTTTTAGGTCCGGAGAATTAGCACTGCTATAAGTCCTGGTCTGCAGAATTCGTAGACAGAAAAACAATAACTAAGCTTACTGCCTTATGATGAAGAATAATGTGTTGAGTCTGTTATAATTTTTTCTCTACCGCCTTTTGAGTTATCGATGAACAACATCTTACCAAAAGGATTGACCTTCTCCATGGATCATCTGCTTGTCTCTTTTGGTGGAGAGCATAAAACCCTAGAAGGGCTAACAATAACACAAGTGTGGAACCACCAACTGCTGCACCAATTATCAAGCCCTTGCTTGATCCTGCAGCACACCTCGAAATCATGAGAAATGAAAAGAGAGATATGTCGTCAGTTATCAGATCGAGTTAACATTGTCAACTTTTAAAGCAGAAGTGCAACTAGTATTTCTAAGTTCAGAGTCACTTTCAGACTTACCTCCTGAATTCGGGTTGTCATAAGGGAAAACACAAGAGAAGGGTCCATAAAAACTTGGACGCGCACCCGCCAGAGTCTGGTTGCTAATCATGGACGCAATGGCTGAAGATCCAGTTTTGTTGAAGTGGTCTTGGCCAGCCGGGAAGATTAGTATGTAGAGTTTAAGGTGAAAAGAGGAGTCCCAGGAAGGATTAATAAGAGCAACTGAATCCACTGGAAGGTTATAGGACTGAAGGGTTTTTAGGAGATGATCCTGAAGAGCTGTGAAATAAATGAAGTTTCCCAAGTTGGAGAAAGAAACAAATATGAAGTCTAGAGTTCCTGTGTAGGGATATGCACATTTACAGTTGGGGGAAGAAACCTGCCCTGGACTACAAGCAACTTGCGTACAGTTACTTGGTGGCGGCGAAATTGGGGAACTGGTTGGAGAAACAGTGCAGTAGTTATTTGCCATGTTTGTTCCCTCACAAATTGGATTATCAACGAGGCTGCAAAAGATAACGGACCATTAATCATGACAGTTTGACAAACAATTGGACATTGATATTCAATGTACGAGAACTATAGCTTACATCAATGTATAGTTGGATCCTCCATCACTTCGTGTAAGGTCGGTAATGAAGTTCTTCTCCAGATCAATTAGCTGCAAACGGTTGCTAGAAATGGTTTCAAGATCCAATAAACCATTGATCTTGTTGTTCCTCAGTAACCTGCAATAGCACACAGGTTAGATTGATAATCACTTTACAACCACTTTACACTTAAGCTAGGTGTTATTAGAGATCAGTATGATACTCACACCGTCTCCAAACTGGAAAGGCTGAATAAGGCCGGAGGAACTTCTCCCTGAAGTCCCGTGTTCTCCATCATTCTGCCATACAGGATTGACAGGTACATTAATTCGGAGCATTTACTGTGATATTTCAAATGGAATAACATATACTCGAACTCAAACTGCATCCAGATACACTCAAACACACACACACGTGGTATATTGAGGAGGAATGAGACATACAATGTTGTCAAATTCTGCAATGTCAAAAACCAAGTAGGAACATCTGTTGCATCAAAGGTATTATTGCTCATATCCCTGCAGATCAATGATATGGAATATATATGATTGTTACCATTTTTAGTCATGGGAAAAAGTGATGAAATTCATAAAGCGTAACATCTTTTAGATCGAACTTGAAAAAATCAGTAATGTTGCACTTACACATACTTCAGGCCATTCAAGCTAGTAAGGTTTGGCATGGTGCCAGTCAGCTGATTGTTGGACAAGTGCCTGAAAACATATTACCATTAGTCTCTCTTTAGTAAAGTGAAATCCAAACAACATGTTCAAAAGTGCAAATTCTTTGTCTGGTAAGCCGTTTTCTTACAGTTCGGTCAATTTTGTTAGATTGTTGAGGCTTGAGGGAACGGACCCATGTAAGGAATTCCTATCAAGGATTCTGTACCAGAACAAGATATTCAGTACAACTAGTACAAGCCACAACTTAGAAATATCTTGGTATAAATCTCTTGTGAATATGAAATAGACACTTACACTGCCTGCAGTGTCTGCACTTGTCCGAGTGTGGAAGGTATGACTCCAGTTAGATTATTTCGGTCAAAAACCCTGCACAGAAAAAAGTACTCGAAGCAGCTAAGGTAATGTGTTTCTCTTACCAACTGAGATTTTCAGGTGAAGGAAACTTACACATGTAACAGAGCCATCTGTGAACTGAAAAGTCGAGGAGGAATTGTACCAGAGAGCTGATTATTTTGAAAATGACTGTATTTGAAGTGTATAAAAGAATCAGAGGGGCATAAACCAAAGGGAGGCAAAAGATTAGTCAGCCCAGGGTTAACTAGAATTGACATACAAGTGCCTTGCCCTATGTAACATATCAAGACCGGGTGCAGTCCTGTTAGATACTGGGATTGGTCCCTGAAGTTGGTTGTCAGAAAGGTCCAGAAAGGAAAGATTGGTCATATTACCAATGGAAGGTGGAATCCGGCCACTGAAGCTATTGTTTTTCAAAGATCTGCAGCAGGATATTAATGAAGAGTTGCCATGTTATAGCATATTGGCCTGTTTAAACGCCTTGTTTGGAATGATCAAGGGCGAGAGGGAGAGGAAGGCTTACAGATAAGAAAGCTGCTTTAGAGATCCCATAGTGTCTGGAATTGGACCGAAGAAACTGCAACCAACCAGGTTTCTGACATGTAAAGAAGAAAGCAACAAGGTAGTTAGGTGGATGAATAATCACATACCGAAAATTACGAAAGTGAGGAAACCGGTAATTCTTTTTTACAAGTATACTAGTTTGGTCAACTTTCCAATTGATGCCGGAAGCAGTCCTTTCAGGCCCCTGTTAAAAGACAGATTCCTATATGAAAAAAGGGTGAGAAAAGAGTTACAAAAGACTAATGAGAAATCTATTAACCAAGAAATGAATCAAATAATGAAGTGAAAGCTGAAGTAATTTCAATAACGATTAAAATGCTTTGAAAGAAAAATCCTGGATTTTTTGGTTCACATATTAGTTGCAAGTGAAGTATCATAATTATGTAAAACGCAATGCGGAGAATCAGATTGAAGACGTACAGAACCTCAAGCTCAGATAACAGCTCGATATCGCTGGGAACCGAACCTGTCAAAGCCATATCTGCCAATGCTCTGAAATTAAAGAAGCCATTGGTATCCGAAAATGGAAGAAAATTAAGCAACATCCAGGAGCAATGAAAATGGTGGAAAGAGGCAAAAACTTACATGGAGGTTACATGCGAATTTGTGCACGTAACACCTTCCCAGCTGCCATTACCACAAGGATCTGAACCCACCCAACTGGTTGGTCTTATGTTCCACTCATCCATGAGAATCTTCATAGGGACATCTGCATAGAATTTAACACAGTTCAATGCTTGAACCGCCATCCATGGATCTATCAATCTATTATACCGTACTACTTCACTGTCATATTGATAAGTCCATAATCATCACAGAGGGAATGGTTATGAACTACTTTACAAGTCTAACTATGATCCAAACTTTTGAATGCCGCTAACGAGTTATGCCCATTTAATGGAGAAGAAGCAGTTACATAAAGGACGTAGCAGTTGGATAAAACTTACATTCCTGAATGCTTGCCTCTACTGCAATAACAAAGAAAGGGATCAACACATGCAGGGGAAACACATGATCAGTGGCTCGAGTTCGATCCATCCCTTTGCTAATTCAGGCCTTATTGGGCTTTCAATTCTTGATATTATTCTTCTCACAAGGAAGGCAGATATATATGGTACAGACTTGAATTACAAGGTATGAGTATACAATAATATTCACCCTACGGCTTCAAACGGGAAATAAATCCCCCTAAATACACACAAAAGTCAACGCACTCCACAGTCCCCCTCAAGTTGGTGCGTAAATGTCATTCATGCCCAACTTGTCAAGTGAGTAGTAGAAGACTTGACTTGCAATGGCTTTTGTCAGGATGTCTACCAACTAATCTTCAAATTTTACAAAAGGAAATTGAATAATATTTGCATCTAACTTCTCCTTAAGAAAATGTCTATCCACTTCCACATGTTTAGCCCAATCATGTTGAACTGGATTATTCAAAATATCAATGGCCGCTTTATTGTCACATAATAGATTTGATGCAGGGTGGGTACCCAAGTTCTATAAATAACCGCCAAAGCCATAATAATAATTCACATACTCCTTTCGCCGTACCTCTATATTCTGCTTCTGCACTTGACAAAGCAACCACTTTCTGCTTCCTACTCTGTCAAGTCACTAAATTGCCTCTGATAATGTAAAGTACTCCAAAGTAGACCATAATATTTCCCGCCCAATCCCCATCAGTATAACCGTCCACTTGAAAATGTCAATTCTTCGAAAACATGATGCCTCCACCTGGTGTGGACTTCAGTTAGCAAAGGATTCGTTCAACCGCACCCATGTGGGCTTCCCTCAGAGAGTGCATAAACTGGCTTACAACACTCACTGCATACACAATGTCGTGTCTAGTGTGAGATAGGTAGAATGATCACCCAACCAACCTCTAATAGTGGTCTTTGTTAGTTGAAATTTGGTCAGGGTACACGACAAGATGATGGTTTGGAATGATAGGAGTGTCAACCAGTTTACAATCAAGCATTTCAACTTCTGTTAACAAATCCAAAACATATTTCCTTTGAGATAGAAATATGTTCTGTTTCGGCCGAGCCACTTCCATACCCAAAAAATACTTAAACCCACCAAGATCCTTCATCTCCATCTCGGTTGCCAAGTAATCTTTTAACTTCAAGATTTCTTTCTTTTCACTGCCTGTAACAAACATATTATCCACATAAATAATGAGTGTTGTTAACTACTCATTCGACGTTTGATAGTGCATGGTCGGAATTGCTTTGCCTGAACCCATACTTTGTCATGGCCGTTCGAAACCTCCCAAACCACGCCCGAGATGATTGTTTCAGTCCATACAATGCCTTGTTCAATTTGCATACTACTCCTCATTTTTATACTGAACTCAACCATACCTTTAGATCACGCGTTGGTTGAATTTTGAGTGGTCAACGCTGAGCAACTCGGAAGCTCCGACTCGGTGAGTTCTACATCAACGTGATCTTGACCGCATCCCAAGGTTTTGAAGGTCGGGGAAGCTTCCACACAACTCCAGGGAGACCCTAGATTAAGTTTGGAGTGAAGTTAAGGTGAGAACCCACAGTTTCAAGGAGTTGAAATAAGGTCTAAGAGCTTCAAGCTAATTTCAGACAATTTTCGTCCACTTTTTGGACTTTCTGAATGTACAAACTTGTTCTCCTATTCATTCCCTTCATTTCCATATAAAATGCGTCGAAAATGGTTGAGAAATGAAGAATGTATGAAGTTTTGAAAATTTTCGGAAACTAGCAATTTTCCCAGTTTTCGGTGAAACCAAACGGCGGCGGACAGCGAGGCTCACCGAAGAAGACAAGGAATATTCATTCAAAGTTGACGGAATATTCTAATGGCGTCAAGTAACGTCGTTAACTTTTAACGGAATATTCCGTCACTTTAACAGAATATTCCTAACTGCTGTTAGGTTTCTGTCAGACGTGTGCAAGCGCGTGGCCGTGCGTATGGCAGTGGGTTGGACGGCGCGTGAGGGCGCGTCCGGCCTCCGATCGACGAGTGGGTTTTACATGCAGGTCAGTGACTTCGAGTAGAACATTTTGGTATATTCAAACCTTCTGTTTGAGCAAATTATGGGAAATTTTTCCTAGTTTTTCCGTATATGTCCAATTAATTACTTATCAGTAGTTGTTTCACATATAGGGGAAACTTACCCTAAGGACGTAAGTGGACAAGCGAGGCTAGGGGGCTACGACCCTACGACATACCAGGGAGTGGGCATTTTGTTTTCGTATATATACACACTTTATAGTTTCCACAAATGCTTTTAAACTATGTTATGCATATTATGCCATGAGTTATATAATTTTAAAAATGTTGTTATGTGATTGAGATTTATATATTTGATAATGGCATATTCATATGCATTTTACTTGCTCATAAATACTACATTATTGCGAAATGCTAAATCATTCTACGAGACGTGCAGGTAAGTCCAGGTGAGTTTATTGTATTGTTGGAATGATTGAATTGTTTGGCATACTCATATTCATATAGTCAGCTCATCATTGCTACACTCAGGTGTTAGTGCTCAGCCCAAAGCCAGGCTAGTCCGTCACGTGTATGTTCACCTCCCTCATAGCACACTCACATTGGATCCAAGTAGGTGCTAGCTTGTCGTATAGGTCGCATTAGGTGACTCCGATTCCTTGCTAGTATAGCTTGTTGAGCACCTGATTATATTCATATTGTCGTTGATATATTATGTTGTGGCATCTGTATGAATTTATTGCTGGCATGCATTTGGCTTCATATTTATACGTAGTATGATTTTCTAGAAACTATACTTGTTTTACAACGAGGGGTTAGTATATTTGTAAAATAAAAGGATTTTATAAACCTTTATTTTTGTGCCCACTCACCCTTCTATTTTTCGCCCCTCCACGTCCTAGTTAGTTGATTTATCTCTTGGCGTACGAGGAATAGCTGGTGGATTCTGACATATCTCCATCTTAATGTAGGAACTTATCTCTAGTTGTGTAATAAGTACTTCTCTCGTTCGACTGCTTTACCCTTTGTTATCTATGCTATGAATATTAGTAGTTTATGGATTGTAACCACTACTGCGCACTCATTTTATTAGTTAATTAATTTCTAGTTTCGGTTTTAATTTATTCACAATTTTATTTTGTCACTTGCACTTTTGGTTACATCACCTTCACGTGAAGGCCAACACGCCTTCATTCCAGTCAGGGTGTGTCATAGGCTTCCCTCAGAGAGTGCACAAACTGGCTTACAACACTCACTGCATACACAATGTCGTGTCTAGTGTGAGATAGGCAAAATGATCACCCAACCAACCTCTTATTAGTCTTTGTTAGTAGAAATTTGGTCAGGGAACACGGCAAGATGATGGTTTTGAATGATAGGAGTGTCAACCAGTTTACAATCAAGCATTTCGATTTCTGTCAACAAATCCAAAATATATTTCATTTGAGATAGAAATATGCTCTGTTTTGGCCGAGCCACTTCCAAACCCAAAAAATACTTAAGCCCACCAAGATCCTTCATCTCGGTTGCAAAGTAATCTTTTAACTTCAAGATTTCTTCCTTATCATTGCCTGTAACAAACATATTATGCACATAAATAATGAGTGTTGTTAACTACTCATTTGACGTTTGATAGTGCATGGTCGGAATTGCTCTGCCTAAACCCATATTTTATCATGGCCATTCTAAACCTCCCAAACCACACACTAGGTGATTGTTTCAGTCCATACAATGCCTTATTCAATTTGCATACTACTCCTCGTTTTGATACTGATGTATACCCTGGCGGGATATTCATGTACACCTCTTCTGTAAGATTCCCGTGTAAAAAAGCATTTTTCACATCAAATTGTTGTATTGGCCAATCTAAATTAGCTGCCAAAGAAAGCAACACTCTAACTGTATTGATCTTTGCTACCGGAGCAAATGTTTCTGTATAATCAACGTCATATGTATGAGTATAACAATTGGCCACAAGTCGTCCCTTGTACCTTTCAAGCTAATGCCGTTGGAATGAACAATATAAAACCATTGAGCTACCTGCTTATACAAAGTCCACGGATGAACTTCACAATGAAAAATGTAAACGGTATTCCCCATAATTTTAACCAACTGGGAAACAATTGGTCGATCCGTAGGCCATATTTTAAGTAAAAAGACAAGAAGTGTATTTTTGGAACCAGGAAAAGGACCATCTTGAACAGTTCCTTTTTTTTTTTTTAACAGTTGAACAGTTCTTCATACAACCTCAGAATTGTCGTAAAGAAAGAAACATTCAAATGAAAAAAAATAAAAAAATAAAAAAATAAAATAAAATAACTCAAATATATATTAAAATTCAAATATTTTAGTGATAAAATTTAACAACGATAAGGACCAGAGTTTAGCAGCCACTAAAAACAAACTGATCCAGCTGTGAAGATCTGCCGGCCTGACGTTGTAACGTTTTGTGTAAGGTAATACTAGAGGCTAAATCTATAGATTAAATATTAAATATTGTAAATTAAATGACATAAAAATTAATGATTGAATTATTACTTAAGTATTGATTAACGTGCTTATTTCTTATTGGTGACACATCATTTAATTTGCAAATTTAATCTACCTAGCATTACCCTTTTGTTTATATTCCTTGTCAGTGTGGCGAGGCCCATCCAATCAAACACGAGAGATTTTTCAATGTGATCGGAACACATAATGGTACATCGCTTGTCGCTGTAGAAATGATGAAATATGTATGTTAAAAAGTTAATAATTTAAATATTAAAAATTTTCATCATTTATATAAAAATACGTGATATATTACTCTTATTCTGATCACAATGAAAATTCTCCTCCCGTTTCACATTCTATCTTTTTGCCCAGCCAGGTAAGGATCTCCCACTTTGAGTATTAACCTTCAAGTTGTAATTTGTTTATTTATTTATTGATCTCACTTAATCCCACTATTGAGTATTGGCCCTCAAGTTGTAATTTATTTATTTATTGATGACACGATTATATTTGAGCGGGACCATAATAACAGAGATGGGTTGTTAGATGACAACAACTTATATAAAACATAAATATTAGTTTTTCTTAAATATTATGATCAAATAATGCAATGTCGTGTGAAAAAAGCATTCAAACATAAATGTTATGAGCAGATGCATAGCAAACATTCTGATTCCTTTTTTCTTTTCAGTACATCGATATTTTTACACTAAGGAGATGAGGAGTTTGGCTAAGTCACATAATAGGAAACCTAATTTGATTTTGAATTCTCCATCCACAAGATTTGAACTTAAGATCTCTCACTTCTAAGCAAAGAAGAATATCATCAAATCGTAATATTGAGCGGTAACATCTTGATTCTTGAAAGTGAAGGCGTTAACACAATCCCCCAATGTTGTCATCAGTTTTACAAATACACCACCCAATGTTGTCATCAGTTTTACAAATACACCAATAATCGCAGTTAATATCAATTATGACAAAAAACAGAAAATTTGACTTATTTTTGAAATTCAAGAAAGTTAAAATAGTATGAGTGAGGATCCTCGTCGGATCCTCTTTGTGTGGATCTTGAGGATCCAAGGGATCCTCAAATCATATTCGCTCATCATGCGGTCAGAAATTATTGTAAATTTTTTTATTTAAAATTGAATATAAAAAGTACCTGACGAAAACTGACCGCACGATGTATGATGAACGAGTGTGATTGAAGAATCATCGGGATCCTCTCTCAAATAGTGTATCAAAATTCCACGCAACGAATACTTTATTCCTCTCTCTCTCATTTATAGAGAATAAAATACAAACATATTTGACAAGGTAAACCAAATCAAATAAGTAAGAGTGATGCTAGAGAGCCATTTAGTTTAACCATATTTCATAAACTACATGATGTGACAGTTGATGGGTAGACTTCTTTTTTCTTTTTTTCTTTTTTGGTATTATCTACACTAAGGGGTATGAGAGTGTGTTAAGCCTCACAATGTACTAGCAATAATGTAATCAAAATTCACTTTTGACTAGAATTGAACCTAAACCCTCTCATTTACAAGTTAAGAGGAATATCACTAGACCGTAGTACCAAATGATAATTAGACTCCTTCTTTAAATCATTAAGAAAAAAATCCAATCATCAACCGCTACATTATATGCTCTACATGATTTAGTCTCCCTAGCATTTTTTTAATAAGTAACCCTAATTCCTTGAGGACAGGAAAACCTACATAATAAAATAAAATAGCTAAGAAACCGTTTGATAACCATTTGGCAAATTAAACCTCTCCCTTTTTATTCTACAACAGTTTTTTCACTTCTTTGTTTTTATTTTCAGATTTTTATTCTGCAACAGTTTCTACTCTTTTGTTTCATTTTCAGATTTTGATTTCTAATTCATTTTTTTAACTGAAAACGAAATAATTATCAAACGGCCTTTAAATTGTTCGTTTCTAATAATTGAGTAAAAGTAAACTTTCAACATACGTGTCGGCATAGCAGGGGGAATGGGAATCTTGGAGTCAATAAGCTAAGATGGATCCGAATGTGAGAACAGTGGAAATCCTCGAAAGGATACCCGATGAGCCATTTGACAGAGATACTAAACCATTACTTGAACCGTGTACCTAAAAACGTTTCTTAATCTCTAAGGAATGCCGAATCTCGAAACACTCAAATGTTTCATCAGATCAAATGGAGTGGCAAAATATGCAGCTTCCAGTAGGCTGTAGTGCGGTGGAGAGCGATTAGAGAAGTATGGCTCGCAACCGGGGAGACCTGCGTTGGATGGAACTGGTTATCTGGTGGTGCAGTGGTTGGGTCGTAGGGGCAAGGTGGCCTGAAGTTGCAGATCATCGGTGCGGGTTGGGGGAGGACCAGGTTGGGCTGGAGCCTGGAGCCACCATTATCCAAAACAGTATAAGGTTGAGCTAATGCAGCTCTCTTCTTTCTATTTATCACTTGTCACTGAGATACCGTGTGGCATACGACGGTCGATGCTGGCCAACACACAGCAATTCAGGCATAGGCGGTCATGAAAATTGTAACTTCCGACATGTTTCTCAATCGGGTAAAATCAGAAATATACGTGCACCATGATCCAACAGATTTCGCGATCAAGAACCCAATTCATAACTTGCAACTAGAATTTCAACTAAAAAGATTTACATTAGCACATAATATACGGTTATACGGAGGAAAAAGTACTGAAAGAGGTTCACTTGAATTCAAGACCAAAAAGCATAAATAGCATTGATGAGACAAAATTTCTTAGGCTGGGTGAGAAGGGCCCTTCTCGCGATTCTTCAAGGAATTGCAAAAGAAGGTGAAGCCCGCTTTTAGTTCTCCCGGGAGTGAAAATTGTAGGGGGAGCACCAAGGGACGAACTTGCTCACTTTTCTTCCTCACAGAAAATGGTTGTGCTAAAGCCGGCTGCTGCTTGTTTAGGCCTTCAATAACAAATGAGAATGCCCCAAAAGTGAGACAGCTTTGTAGAAGAGCCTGGGGTGCACCTGCAAATTAAATAAGGTATTCTAAATTAAAGATACAATAGACTGTTCAGAAACTGCTTTATTGATTAGCGAGGAAATGACTTGCTCGTTATAACAATCCAAAAATGAAAGAGAACAAAAATCGGGAGTTCTATAGATATTAAGAATTTAAATTTTAACAGCACAGTCAATGAGTTTATTGCTAATTTATAAATTATCGAACTTTGTAATACGATGGATACCTGGAAAACTAAGAGCAAGACCAGTGCAACATCCAGCTACTCCAGCATTAATGACTGCAGAGGAAGAAAGAGTGAACACGATATAATGAATGAATAACGTAAAAGTACTATTTCTGCATTCAAGTTCCCATACCATCATCCTTTCCTCGCAGCCTCTTCAACATGCAGACAACCAAACTGTGCACTCCGGACAAAACTGCAAATGTCTGAAAAGGGGAAAATATAAAAAGAACCTTAACAACTGAATTCAAAGAAACATTCGACATTGTATACAGCATTTTACAAAAAAACTAAACTAATTACACTCATATTGCAATGCTATAATTTAATAATAGGAATTCCCATACCTTTGCAGAAGATCCTGCATCTGCAAAGGATCCTTTAAAACCTTTTTTCTTGAACAACCCCGCACCTGAAACACATCCAGGCAAGGTAAAACAAAAAAATCTCAGTTCGATTGACATGTGTATGTAAAAAAATGATAAACTGGGGCTGAGTTTGCTGAAGATGGGTTTGCTCATCTAATAATTCATTGCTAAATTGATATCAAGACAATCTTCAATCCCTAGCTGTTTTTACATGTATAAAAATCAGGCGACAGCCGCCACACTGGGTAACGCAATATCGAGCCAAACTCAACTCAACCAAAGTTTGAGTGGCAAGTTTTGTTCTACATCCCCTCATTATGTGAATACGGCATAGAGAAATGACTAGCATTATCCAAATGGACTAATTACTCCATAAATCTAACAATCACAAACAATCGGAATTCTCTCATAACAACGGCTTGTTAGATGCAATGAGCATAGAAAGGAACCAAGCATACAGCAGTATAAAGTTCAGAATGCCGCATGTACAAGTCTATCCACAACCTTAAACTACACAGTGCAATTCCGGAGCCTTAAAATATCAACTTAACCTCAATTTATTGCTTCACTGTATATTATCAGTTCCAGCAGGAAATCATCAAAACTAGAGTCCTATCACAACAAATTAACTAACTTTACCCCAAATTTACCCTATAAACCACAATTTCACATATCAAAACACAGGAGGAATTATAAACAAAACCCACCAAAAAATGGGAAGGAGAAAATTCACTCCTTTTCCTAAACCCTAAATAATCATCTAATAAAAGCATAAGCACCACTCAAATTCCCATATAGAAACACCACAATTATGCAATTAAAAGATTCACAAATACAAACATACACGCACGCACGCACGCACGCACACACACACATATATATATAGAGAGAGAGAGAGAGGGAGGACCGTATCCAAAAATGGAGCCCATGAACGCGCCGCCAGCGGAGTCTCCGGCGAACCTGAGAAGGCAGACAGCAGGGCCACTGGGGGAGGCAGGGACTAAGGAGTTTGAAGAATTAGGGTTAGGATTAGTATCGAGCTCAGTGTTGGGATCCATCTCAGTGTTCGAAGAATCAACCGACGTCGTCGCCATGGCCGGCTGCTACTCGCTCTGCCTATTCAATCTCCAAAAGCAGAAATAACTCAAATCCTAAACTGACACTACAATCAATACGCCTCCTTGTTATTTCCGCATTTTATTTGTTTAGTAATTCTTAAAAGATTGGTTTTAAACAAAATGAACCGACGTCGGACCGGCACTGTTTTGATTTTTTTTTTTTAACAACTGATATTATCTCACTAAAGTGAGGGATGAGTTTAACCTCACGATAGCTAGCAATAATATGATTCAAATTTATCTTTTATTTTGATTCATTTTAGTTACTAGAGTTTTGCCCTAAATTCAATTTGTTGACACTACCTTCTAGATGTATTGCCGATGAAAATTTATAAATTATGTTTAGGTATGTGCGGAGGACTAAGATTCTTTTTCCTCCTCTTTCCATCCCTTTTTATCATCTCTTCTCACATTCTCTATTTTTTCTTTCTCTTTCTATAAAAGAAATTAATATAAGATATTGACGTAGCTTAACCGTAATTGTTCAAATAGGAGGAAGAGAAAAAAAAAAAGAATCCTACTCCGTTTGCAGAGTCGTTATGGAGGATAGTAAACGGGTATGAGGGGGATTTGGGGTTCAAGTCATGGATCGATGAAGGTATTGCCATTCCGGATATGTACGCGACCCCGATTATATGTATATATTAAAAATAACTCCTTTTGACAAGGAATGAAACATACAACTCATTGTAGGTTGCTATAACAATTGTGCTGAATTTTTTTTGAAGTTATTTACTTTTTATTAGGATTTCTTGTTTACGTAATTACGTTGCATGGTCAAAGTTTAGAGATACAATTTTTTATGATATGGGAATGGCGGCTTGAGGTTTTGAAGGTAACTTCCTTCGTAGGGCGGGGATGGGGAAACCCGAATTATGAAGGTTGGGTTGGCCATCAAACCCGTCCAATATGCCTGAGTTGAACTATAATATTGAGTTACTAACTAATTACAGCTTGAGCGCTCTGATCAAATAGATCGTTAGTAGCTTTAGCGTTGATTATGTGAATTTTAGTTAATTCACTCTTAGGCCCAATGGAAGCCCAGCAGTGAAGTGTGAACCAAGACTAACGGTTCTCCGCTGCCACTTGTCGTCCCCGAAATTCAGTTCATATTTTCAGAGTTCATATTTTCCAATCACTCCGAAAAGGTAATTTCTTATCTTTAATTCGTATCTGGGTTTTTTTCCTTTTTACAGTCTCATTCCTCGTTTCTTGTAATTGCCCGGATTTGCTTTTGCGCTTAAACACCGAAATTTCATTGTCAATTATTTGGTTTGACAAATGGAGCTAACCAGAAATGTGATTGTGATTTAGGGTTTAGAGTTTAGGGTTTAGGGATTGGTTGTCAACTAATTAGGGTTAGGGTTTAGTATATACCAGCTGAAGACATTCTATGTTACGTTGTATAGAGCTTGATTTGATCTTTGACACCTCTGTGAATTCATGAATGCTTGCCTTTCTGGAATCAGCATGCTAAAATAATGCACGTTTTGATTATCTAGTGTCAATGCGTCATTGTTTGATTAAGTGTGTGTTTGTTGTGGTGATACCTGCCCCTAAAATTTTAGAGAAAACATGACTGCCATTTGCATTGTAATTAAGCTGCACATAATACATCAATTTTTTGGGTATGTTTGGGTGAACCTTCAAATTCGAAGGGATTTAGGGATGGTGATGAAGAGATGGATCACAAAAAAAAAAATATGATAGGAGGAATTAGAAAAACACCACATGAGCATTACAAACGGCATGATGGAGAGATTTACAAATGACTACTTGGGATGAGTCATTTACAAATCCCATAGCTTTGTAATGATCATGAGGTGCATTTTCTAATTCCTTATATCTAACCTTCTTTGATACATTTCTTCTTTGTTTTGCCTAAATACCTTGGAATTTGGGAGTCCTTCGCCCAAACATACCTTTAAGCTGGTATGGCATAATGTTATTTGTTCTGGTTATTACTCAAGTACATGTTAAGGCGGACAAGAAGATGCTGCAGTATATTGTTTTTTACTACTTTATATCAAGGGACAGGAGAGGATACCTTGAATGTTGGCATTGTTCTTTCTTTGGACAATCTGTAAATTAGATAAAAAGAACTTTTTTAACCATTGAAATAATAGTTAAAGCGATTATAAGAAAATTGGGAAGCTTTAGTATGCTTGTATTAAATTTGAGTTGTTGGTTTTATTTCTCCAAGTTACGAGAATTCTTTCCTGATCCTGAACTCAAACAAATATTATACAGGTGAAGGGCCATTACCCTCCATGGATTCCCTTATGTAGGATTTATGTGCAGAAATGTGACCTAGTTTTCTAGTTCTCTAGATATACTTTTCAAGATTTCAAATCTTCATATGTCTTACTTCACAGCTAATCACTCCAACTACACAGCTATAAGAGATTTTAAAAACATCACCACAATACCATTTTGTTTCTGACAGAGCCTTCATTTAGGTGTGTCACATTTGAGGGTTGGATTTTGCACAGAGAAGGATGGGGAGAATGATATTGAATAATGCATTGAGATCGATAGTGAATGCGGAGAGAAGGGGGAAAGATACTGTGGAGTTGAAACCCATATCCACAGCAATGTCATCATTCCTCAAAATCATGAAAGATCGAGGTAAAACCCTATAGTCTCCTATTTTTTATATATATTTTGATAATTGAGACTAACTATTTACTATGTACTTTCGGATATGGTTTTTTGTAAGGTTAATTTGTTGAGAGGGTTTTGAAGACGGTAAACTTGTAGTGAATAAGGATCTATAGAACTGGGTTCAGTTAGTTGGGGTGGGCTCTAGGAATTTGGCTTTAATCAACATAGGTTTATTTAATTTTTATTTTATTATTTCACATAAACAAGAAAATGGTACTGGAACAGGCTGACCAGTTTTAGGGCTTTATTGTCTTTCATCCGAGCTTACCTACGATGTCAAATGCTGTCACTTATTTGTTTTGTTGGTCTCATGGATTTAATGTCAATTTATGAATTTCATAACACTGCCTTCATTCTGATGCATGCCATAATCAGGCATGCTTGAATAAGAATAAATACTAAGACTGTTTGAGGATATGTTGCTTTGAATAAATTGGTGATGGTTTTAAAACTCGCTATTAGAGGACTAGCATTATAGGCAACTTGTAATTAATTATGGGATGCTTTGGTTAAATTTGTAGTTTTAATTGGAGACATGGTATTACTTTTTTGCATGTACCATATGCATCACACTTCTTGTTTGTTTCTTTGGAAGGGGAGTAGAAGGGGGTGTATCAAAAAGTACATATAAGCTCCAAATGTTATTTATCAATTTGTTGCATGTAGTAGTTTTCCTGACTGTGGTATGCTTTCCTTAGGTTATATCAAGGATTTTCAAGTTTTTGATCCGCATAGAGTGGGGAGGATAACAGTTCAACTACAAGGTAGGGTTAATGATTGTAAAGCTCTTACTTACAGGCAGGATGTGAAGGCAAGAGATATTGAAGAGTACAAAATGCAAAAACTTCCAACACGACAGGTTGGTTAACCTCTTGGTGTCGAAAGATGTGTTGAAAGTTCTTTTGTTGTCCGTTATTATTTAAAGGTGCCTGCTGGGTGTGTGGATTTTTCTGTTAATGGGTTTTGCTCTCTTCATGCAGTGGGGTTATGTTGTGATTACTACTCCCGAAGGTGTGTTGGATCACGAAGAGGCTGTTAAGCGTAATGTTGGGGGTCAGGTTCTTGGCTATTTTCATTAGATGGGGAAGGGAGAAATGTTCTCCAGTATGATGATATTCCGACTTCACCAACGTGAGTTTGTTGTTTTGTTTACCTCAATATCAAGTTATGTGAATCTGGTGTCAACTTATGATTTAGATAAATGGTAAAGCAGGATCATTCCTCTTGAAACAGCGCTCTTGTTTATTACAAAAATGGTAGCAGCATTTAGTAAACCAGTCAATTACTCTTTTAAACCTATTTTGAAGCATATTTTCCTGGGCATGCTAGTGAATTTTGATATGCACAATTGTTCACTTTTTCTTTTGGGTCAGGGTTTGCTGGTTTTGATTTCTGTGTCGGTACTGAGAAAGACGTGATCACTTATCTAGTGTATCTGTGGTCAGAATTCAACTCCGGGCATATGGGATGCGTGATCACATCTTTCTCTGCTGTCTTTGCAATTGCTATACGATCAGAGACATGACCTTTAGAGGTCAACAAAGATTTGTGTGTTGATGGAAATATGTTTTGATTGCAAATGCTGATGGGCAAGTGGAACACGCTTACAGAAAATACCATATACTACCACTGCATCAATTCGACAGTAATTTGCATCAACAATTCACTCTACTTCTACGATCTAGGGAAAAAAACGTAGATCCATCCATTTTGCCACCAAAATTGTGTTTTTGTATCTCATTTTGCCTCCTACTGTTAAATCCTTTAAATATTCTGTAACTATGTCGACGTCTCCTATGAGTTACTCATTGTTTTTTTATCGTGGAAATATTTTTGCTCACTACCTCATGATTTTCGTGGAACAAGTCATTCTCAAAGGAAACTATTAACCATCCTCTCCAACTCCCCACCACCTCAGAAATTTGGCCCTCTCTGTTTTTGATCAATTTCAACCTGATACTCATATCCCACTAGTTCCCTTCTATCGTCGTTGTTGCGATGAAGTCAATATCGATCTCCATGCATTCTCTGTTTGCTGAAAAACTCAAGCTTCTAAAGAAATCATTATCGGAAGCCCTCACTCGCTTATATCCCCTTGAGGGAAAAGTCGACTACAATGCTTCGATCAGCTGCAATGATCATGGAGCTGCATTTCTTGAGGACCAAGTTAACCGTTCCATATCAGACATTTTGGACAAACCTGAATGTTCTACTTGTTCAGGCCAACTTGTTTGAATGTGGTGGATCGGCGGTCGGAGGCAGCAATTTACATAAGGTCGCCGATGCTTCAACATTCAGCACATTAATAAAGCACTGGGCTGAACTTGCCCTCAGCTCAGCCAGTAATAGTGATCATGCCGTGCTTTCCCATAAGATTTCTTGAACTCACCAAAACCTACCTTCCTAAAGACAAGTGTCTCACACAGAGACCCATTTGATGCCTTAAACATTTCTGCTCTCAAGACCAAAGCCGCCAGCGCAGCAGTACCAAATCCAACGCGTGTTGAAGCAGTACCAGCGCTCATTTGGAAATGCGCAATGGAAACACCGAGATCAATTTTGGGTTTTACAAGCGCAGGCTTTGTTCAAGCAGTTTTGTTCGAGCTGTGAACTTGAGGAAAGGATTGTCAGCTCAGGTTTTGGCGCCGGTAAGCATATTGGGGCATCTCGAGTGGTGCTTCAGGGCGATGTACTTAGAGAGTGAATTAGACGCGAAAATTTGGTTGTGAAACTCCGAAAAGGCATTGAAGTATATAAAGAAGAGTACCCTAATGGTGATGTGGTAATGCGCGCAAACCATCAAAGAGTCCGGCAACCTGGGAAGACATGATGTAGAAACCTATGCTTGTACCAGTTGGCGCCGGCTTCCCTTGTACAAAGCCAGTTTCGGGTGGGGAAGGCCAGCATGGTGGTGAGCATTCGCAGACGATTTCAACTTTCGACCATTCAGCCAGCCATTGCAGTGACTAGTGCAGGACTGTGACTTTCCAAAATGTCTTATACACTTCCTAGTCGATTTCAACTTTCGACCATTCAGTAATGCTCTTGATCTCCGAGTTTTGCTCTTCATGCTTGATCACCATCTATGAGCCTAAAATATAAACTCATCATCGCTCGTAATTATATCATATGGATTAGTAACACCATATGTCGAATTTACAACCCGACAAATTTTGGTACTGCTGATGGTGGGCGGATTGGGAAAATTGGTTTTTCCTTTGGTTAGGTTTTTTATTTTTCTGAAGAAAAAAAAAGAAAAAAATGTTGAATATTCAATTTGGATGTTATATAACATATTTTGGGTTCCAAATGAAATTAACATGATCGATGCTATTTCATATTTTTCATGTGATACCAGCACTCATATGTAAATCACTTCTTATTTTCAATATTGTAGAAAGTATTAGAAGAGATAAAAACTCACTTTTTATTTTCAATATTGTAGAAAGTATTAGAAGAGATAAAAACAAAATATTTTGCTTTGCATACAGCAATGGACTGTAAGATATTGGAAGAAATTAATTATCTATATCTATTGCGACTGGAGAGTACAATATATATCGCAAATGATTAATATGCAGTTTCATTTTCTATCAAATTCTGCAAGTCGTCTTGAAACACCAGACAATTTGCCTGCAAGCTTCTGAACTTTCAAATTTTTGCATCTTAACATGCAGCCAGGATCATTGCAATAGGCAAGATCTACTTTATCGTTGGTGTTTTATTTTTCTTTGAAATATACAGATAATCGGCGTCAACAAATGTCATAGCCCGTCCCGAGATTCTATTTATCGAGGTTGTGAAATGACGAAAGTACCCTTGACGGTTACTAAGGTATCTGTGTGGCATGTTATTGAATATGCATATTTCCTAAGTTTTGGAAAATTTAAATTGGATAAGGTTGTATTTTTTTGGTTAGGGAGTTAAGGAAATGGATGGTGATTATTTTGGGATGGACCACACACACATACACACGGGTCAAACCCTTCCTCTCTCTTCCCCGTGCTCTCTCTCTCCTCTCCGTTTCAGTCTCACTCTCTCCCTCTCGAAATCGTACGGACCAAAGCATAAAACCCTCCAATCATCACGGATCGACGCCAAAAGGGTAAGGTTCTTCATCCTTTCGACCTCCTGAGTTGAATGGTACCATTTTTAGAACTTAGAACCCTCGATATCACGTTGAAAACTCGAGGTCCGATTTGAGTACTGTTCATGCATTCGTGATGTGTTGATTTTCAGGGAATTCTAATCTTATAGTGAGCTTAGTGAGGTCCTAAGGAAGCTCGGAGTGCTTAGTTTGAAGGTTTTGGACGTCGGGATCGTTGAGTTCGAAGTTGGCCAGTTTTCTTGAAATTTCTCCGGTGAGATTTCGTAGTTTTTAGAGCCTTAAAGTAGTGTAACGTGATTCTACATGATTAGGGCTTCATTTTGATATAAAATGCGTGAAAAATGGTTGAGAAATGACGGAGAACAAGGAGATTGAAAAATCTCCAATTTTCCGGTGACCGGAAAAACCAGTCCGGCGATTGGAGGAAGAAGATGACGCGCGTGGGGGTGCGTGCGGCCTCGAAATTTTTTTCTAAAAATACCTCGACGTCCGTGACGTCGAGTAGGTCACCGTGGTATATTCATATACCCAAATTGAGCACCGTATGAGAAGTTATTGCGAATTGTCGGTTATGTGCTTTAAATAACGTTGTTTTAGTTGTTTCGCATATAGGTGATACCTATCCCGAGGACGAGCGGATTCAAGGGCGTCACGTTACGACCATTCGACTTATCAGTGAGTGGGCAGTTATTTTATGTTATTACCTATATACTATTGATTTTCCCAGAAATTGAATTTAAATGAAAGTATGTTTTCAAATACCATGCATGCATATTATGAATTATATGAATTAGTAATTGATGCATATATATATGAATTAGTGTTATGGATGCACAGGTGAGTATCAGGTGAGTTTTATGTTATTTATGTGAATCGTTGATGATGTAAATTGTGTTGAGAGCTCAAAACCTGCACCCTGGTGTTAGTGCTTATAGTATTCACCGCACCGCACGCTCACCTTGGATCCAAGTAGGTGCATGTCGTACAGACCATGAGAGGGTCCGACATGCTAGTCGTACATATCACTAGAGGTGGTTCCGACTGGTAGGTGACCTTAGATTATGTGCACAGATGATTGTTGAGAGAAGCACTAGAGCGTATTATTACACCATTCTTGTTGTACAGACTACTTCAGGTAGTTCCGACTTATGTGCAGAGTAGTGCCGTACAGGTCACCGTGGTGACTCCGGTTGGTTTGGATATTGAGCTATGGAATTAACCATACAGGATCAACTGCAGGGTCTCCGGTTGATTCATTATGTCACCTGTTATATTGATGCATTCATAATCTGTTATTGACATTTATGGCATGGCATATTTTCTGGAATTGATAAAGATTGATGATTTAAGATATATGAGGAATTATTTACTATTATGTTATTTTCTGGGAAAGTATACAGGTTTTACAGCGAGGGGTTAGAATTGTTTTGATGAAATGTTTTCGAAAAGCTTTGGTTTTACTGACCTACTCAATTTTGTTTTGCGCCCCTCCAGGTTCTAGTTAGTAGCGTTGGTGGCCCACGAGGATTCCCACGGTGTACTAACAGACTACATAAATGTAGGACTCACCTGCGGGTGTTGTATTTTAGTTATGGTTCTACTTGATTGCACCTAGTTCTTATGCTCTGAATTTGTGTGTTTCACACTTAAACTTACTTTAGCACGTTACTTGGTTATTATTGCTAGTATTTGGTTTTTGTTTATTCGTATTTCTCTTATCTTTTGCTTCCGCATAACACTTTTGGTTACGTCACACTCACGTGATGGCCAGCACGCCTTGATTCTAGGATCGGGGTGTGTCAGTTTGGTATCAGAGCCTAGGTTGCAGTCCTGTATAAATTGTTAATGCTTTAATGATCTTTTGGTGTCTTCTGTCAGAACTATGCCGCCTCGTAGGGAATCACGCCGTGCTTCTGAGTCTAATTTCCCTGATATAACCCAATTAGAGGAAGCGATGGCCCATGCCTTTCAGAATGCAATTCGTCGTCCTCCTCCTCCTCAGAGAACACCTCTGAAGACTATGTATAATCTGAAATTGGACCGTTTCATGGGCAATGAGGGTCATGAAGGGGTCGAAAAGTGGTTAGACCATATTGAGAAGACTTTTCAGGTGATGCAGAGTCAAGGGAATCTTCCTGCTAATAGATGGGTGGAGACCACTACTTG